CGGTAAAGAAATGTTTGTACCACCTCCAGAACTAATAAATGTTGATAACCAGGCAGCTATGTTCATAGCTAAAAATCAAACTACGTCTGATCGGAGTAAACACATAGATCTTAGGTATCATTTCATACGGGACAATGTAGATCAAAGAATTGTTTCACCAGGCTTCAAGGTAATGTAGCTGACCTCTTAACAAAAAACATTTCGAAGAAAGTACTCAATAGTTTGAGGACTCAGTTAGGTTTTATAGAATAACTGTGATATATTAGGTATATGTGTAGTGATCATTCCCGTGCCCTGGTAAGGGGGAGTGAAAGAATATAAAGTACCAGGACCGGAGGTTATTGATGGAATCAGCAAATCGAGGTTGTTGTAAGCAGTCTGACTGATGCATTGCCTTGTTTTTGTTCGTTTGATTTTGGCAACTTTTTATTATTAATTTGTAGAAAATATATCAATAGAAGTGTTCTTTTTTTTAGTCTAAGTTTGTCTTATGTTATAATCTTCATTAAAATATTTCTTTTTCTCAAAAATGATCTGTTTATTTACAATTTTAATTTAATTTCAACACTTATAACATTACTGAGTAATTACTAGTATAAGTAATTACTAGTATAACATTACTAGTGTGGGGAGAGTAGTTACAGACCATGTCAACCTTCATCTATGAAAAGGTACCCCGACATAGAGTCGAGTTAACATGTCTTATATACTAGTGAAATGCAGTTGTAATTTTGCAGTGGTAGATACGATACAGTACTCCCCCACCAGAATTATATTTGTGATAGAATTCGATGAATGGATACCACTAGTTGAATCATTGCTGTTTTTGTGCGAAACCGGGAGAGCTGTATTAAGATCACCGTATTTTTTTGAGTGCTGAATGTGAGAGGTGTATTAACTTCACGGTTGTAGTCGCTCCTGTGTTGCCGTTAGCAGTCGAGTGTATGCAAGCCAACGTTGTGTGTGATCGAGATGAGACTGAGTAGCAACTGCGGCGATACTTTCAGTCTCTGACGATAATACAGAAAAGCTCGCAGTAATGGCGGACAAAATTCATGAAACCACAGGCGGTAATGTCGACGCAGTACGTTGCTCAAATCCATCTTCTGAAATGAGTGAATTGCGAACACAAACAGCGGAACTTACTAAACAAGTTGAACGCCTTTCCCGAAATCGCGAACGCAACAATTCTTTTCACCAGCGTAATCGCTCACAAACACCCAAAAAGTATGATCAGTGTTGGTATCATTTTAAATTTGGAAATGCAGCAAAACGCTGTAAGTCCCCTTGCAAGTTTAAAAAACAGGAAAACTAGAGAAGAAATCACATACTCTGGCGCAATGTGATTTCAAACTCGATAATAAAAGTCGCCTATTTGTATCTGACCCTATTTCAAAATTAGCATATTTAGTGGATAGCGGTAGCGATGTTTGTGTTTTACCGTACAAGCGACACACCTTTAAAAGTAGCAGCGAAAATAATATAACATTATATTCCGCGAATGGTACAACAATCAAAACATATGGCGTTAAAATGGTAACACTNCAAAGGAATTACAACGTTTCCTTGGATTATTAAATTATTATCGTAGAAACATTAAAAATGCTGCTCATATTCAAGCCCCTCTTAACGATACGCTTAAAGGCAGGAAAAGTAAGGGAAAAAATTATCTCGAGTGGAACGAATCTCAAACGTTAGCATTTGAGTCATGTAAAAAGCAGATAGCAGAGGCCACCATTTTGTCTCATCCTGACCCGGAAGCTCATTTAACGCTTTTCACGGACGCTAGCGACTCAGCTGTAGGAGCTTCACTTAATCAAATTACGAATGCTAACAATGAACAAAATATCAAACCTGTGGCATTTTTCTCGTCAAAATTATCACCGGCACAGCAAAAATGGTCTACTTTTGATCGCGAACTTTATGCGATTTACGCAGCCATTCGTCATTTTAAACATATGCTTGAAGGCCGTCAGTTCACGATTTTCACGGATCATAGACCACTCACATACGCTTTCCTTCAAAAATCGGATAAGTGTTCCCCACGACAATTACGACATTTGGACTATATCGGTCAATTCAGTACTGATATTCGGTTTGTCAAAGGTTCCGAAAATATACCAGCCGATATGCTGTCGAGGTTAGATGCTTTAGAACTTTTAGATATTTTAGATTATGCAGCCGTAGCACAGGCCCGAAGTACGGATTCCGAATTACAGGACCTCAGGAAATCAAACACGGGTTTGAAATTTCAAAAAATGATAGTACCAGGTACTAATGTCCAACTCTTTTGCGATACTTCTACCCAAAACGTTCGTCCTTATCTTCCGCTCGAATTTAGAAAAAGCATTTTTGACGCATTACATAATCTCACTCACCCAGGCATAAAAAGCACGGTGAAACTTCTCACATCACGATTCCTATGGCTAGACATAAAGAAAGATATCACAAAGTGGACACGAACGTGTATACCATGTCAGAAAGCTAAGATAAACCGTCATACAAACAGCCCAGTTCAGACTATAAAGGTCCCTGACAAAAGATTCGAACATATACATATAGATATTGTAGGACCCCTCCCACCTTCTCGCGGTTATTNATTTTATTTATAATTCTTAATTCTCTTATTAATTAATTCTTTTAAACGTGATTCTTAAAAATTACTTGTTTTAAACCAACGGAATAGAAAAAAAAATTTTATGAATTCAAAAACAGAATTAATGAGAAAGTGATACTAATTGATTTAGAAGAAACATCAAAATCGACGCAAATGAGGCTTAATTACGACAATGAGGCTTAATTAATTAAGGCAATATATGCATATTGAAATTGTTATACCAGCCGATATGCTGTCGAGGTTAGATGCTTTAGAATTTTTAGATATTTTAGATTATGCAGCCGTAGCACAGGCCCAAAGTACGGATTCCGAATTACAGGACCTCAGGAAATCAAACACGGGTTTGAAATTTCAAAAAATTATAGTACCAGGAACTAATGTACAACTCTTTTGTGATACTTCTACCCAAAACGTTTGTCCTTATCTTCCGCTCGAATTTAGAAAGAACATTTTTGACGCATTACATAATCTCGCTCACCCAGGCATGAAAGCCACTGTGAAACTTCTCACATCGCGATTCGTATGGCTAGATATAAAGAAAGATATCACAAGGTGGACACGATCGTGTATACCATGTCAAACTGAAGTGAACTGTAGTTTTGTTAAGATGTAAACATTCACGCACAAGTTTGTTCACGAGATGTTGTTCATCTGTAAAACATATTTTTCTCACTCGCAATCGTCGGCGAGATATGCTTTTTTATTTTATGTAACTTTTAATTATTTAATTTTTTTTCCATTAAAATGTAATATTTTGGATTAATTAAATTATCCTTTTTAGGTTATTTAGTAAATAAAGACGGAATTAGGCCACAACCAGAACGCGTTGAACCAATCTTAAAATGTGCATTGCCTCAAACCACAAAGGAATTACAACGTTTTCTTGGGTTATTATATTATTATCGTAGAAACATTAAAAATGCTGCCCATATTCAAGCCCCTCTTAACGATATGCTTAAAGGCAAGAAAAGTAAGGGAAAAAATTATCTCGAGTGGAACGAATCTCAAACTTTAGCATTTGAGTCATGTAAAAAACAGATTGCAGAGGCCACCATTTTGACTCATCCTGACCCGGAAGCTCATTTAACGCTTTTCACGGACGCTAGCGACTTAGCTGTAGGAGCTTCACTTAATCAAATTACGAGTACTAACAATGAATAAAATATCAAACCTTTGGCATTTTTCTCGTCAAAATTATCACCGGCACAGCAAAAATGGTATACTTTTGATCGCGAACTTTATGCGATTTACGCAGCCATTCGTCATTTTAAACATATGCTTGAAGGCCGTCAGTTCACGATTTTCACGGATCATAGGCCACTCACATACGCTTTTCTCCAAAAATCGGATAGGTGTTCCCCGCGACAATTACGACACTTGGACTATATCGGCCAATTCAGTACTGATATTCAGTTTGTCAAAGGTTCTGAGAATATACCAGCCGATATGCTGTCGAGGTTAGATGCTTTAGAACTTTTAGATATTTTAGATTATGCAGCCGTAGCCCAGGCCCAAAGTACGGATTCCGAATTACAGGACCTCAGGAAATCAAACACGGGTTTGAAATTTCAAAAAATGATAGTACCAGGTACTAATGTCCAATTCTTTTGCGATACTTCTACCCAAAACATTCGTCCTTATCTTCCGCTCGAATTTAGAAAGAGCATTTTTGACGCATTACATAATCTCGCTCACCCAGGCATAAAAGCCACTGTGAAACTTCTCCCATCGTGATTCGTATGGCTAGACATAAAGAAAGATATCACAAAGTGGACACGATCGTGTATACCATGTCAAAAAGCTAAGATATATCGTCATACAAACAGCCCAGTTCAGACTATAAAGGCCCCAGACAAAAGATTCGAACATATACATATAGATATTGTTGGACACCTCCCACCTTCTCGCGGTTATTCGTATTGTTTGACATTCATTGACCGTTTCACTCGTTGGGTCGAGGCTCGTCCAATTTCAGACATTTCGGCCGAAACAGTAGCTAGTGCGTTATACGAAAGTTGGATCACCCGATTTGGCATTCCTAACATAGTGACAACAGATCAGGGTAAACAATTTGAGTGTCAACTATTCAAATCATTAATGACATTATTAGGCATTAAACACGTCCATACGACGGCATATCACCCCATTTCTAATGGCTTGGTTGAAAATTGGCACCGTACATTAAAAGCCTCACTGAAAGCTCATCTAACTGATCGTTGGACAAAGGTCTTACCCACAGTATTATTGGGAATGCGTTCTGCATTCCGGGAATCCATAAAGGCTACAACAGCTGAACTGATTTACGGAACTGCCTTGAAGTTGCCGGGAGAATTTCTAATGCCAACACCAAAGGATTTCAATGCCAGTGAATTTGTGCAGCGCCTGAAAGAAAACATGGCAAAATTGTCCCCTTTACCCACCAAGAATCATGACACCAAGAGCCGAACATTCATCTCGACCGACCTCAAATCGTGCAAGCAAGTTTTCATCCGACACGATGCTGTTCAACCGCCACTTAAGCCAGCTTACGATGGACCTTTCGAGGTACTTGAAAGAACAGACAAAGTATACAAAGTTCAAGTCGGCAATAAATCCAAGTTTGTGACCATAGACAGACTAAAGTCAGCCTACATCTTGAACATTCCAGAGTCAGAACCAGAGCCTGTGATCAACCATCCAAGCCCACCTCCGGAAATTACTGAGCCAACAACAACTAATGTTGAACATGCAGAGGACAAGGCTAAGCATACACGATCGGGACGTAAAGTACGTTTACCTGCACGTTTCAAGTAACGTTACACTAGGAGGGGGGTACTGCAGTATCCTCACTACTGAGTCAAACTC